ACTGAATGTTTATTTTTTTTTTTTTTTTTTTTTTTTTTTTTATTGGATAACCCGCGGCAACATAGGCCATTGGGTGTTGGTAGGGAACTGTAGGTTTTTTAGATTGGGTAGGTTGGTACACGTGTGTGTTTGTGGTGGCAGAATTTTTATTGGGGCACCCGTAGGTTTCTGCCATGCCCCGGGTTGGGGGATGGCGGCACTTGTACTCCGGACACCGTGACTTGCCCGGAGAAAAATGCCGCCCAGTGGTCGAGAGGCGAACCCGCGACTGCCAGCGCCGCAGTCGACGCGTTAGACCGCTCGGCCACCTCGTCCCCCGAATGTTTATTTTATCAATTCTTATACTTGATAAAATGTTCAAGATATGTTGAAGCTTTTTGAGCTGTTTACAGTTTTTAATTTTTTTTTATTTAAGCAATGAACATTTTTAAATTACAATAGGTATACACCTATAAGGCTATAAGTACTCACGACTTGCATACAAATTGAAATATCTTAAAAAAGCCAACGCACAAATACAAAAAATGTTTTATAGCATGATTATCGGGTCGATACTCGATTCACTCTAATATTATTAAATCTCCCTGACTATTATTTATAACAACGCATTCTGTTGAACACACATGCATATGGGTAAAACACATAGAGCATATGGGTCTGCAGAGAGAGATATATAGTGACAAACAGACAACAGTGAGCCGACATCATCTTAAATAATAATTTAATATAAACTTTTCACTGCCGTGTCTGTACACACTCGTAAACCATCGATCCCGCGACAACTTTAAAATACAGGATCGGCGGGGTGCGGCTGCAGCTGCAGGCCCGGCGGAACCGGCCTCAGGTGTGCGACGACCGAATTCCATTACGCGCGGAGCCCGAGCTCGAATCTGCAGACGGGACCGCCGCCGCGCCGGCTCTGGCATTTATAATATCAATAATAACGACGGTAGACGCTGCGTATATATTATTACGTTCACCGGTGATAAAACAAATTGCGATTCGAAAAAGTCCGAAAGTACATACCTAAATAGTATATAATACTGGGTGATCCATTTAACGTGAGACATTCATTATTTCAGAGAACACCAATCATTTTGAAAATATTTCTTTTACATAATTATATAATAATTGTAAATCGTCACAAAACGATAGTTTTTACTTTTTTTTATCGTTATTATTTTTTATGACTAGGTGTGTACACTTTTAATTCCTTATCCCAAAATAGAATATTTTTTGGAGCATTTTTGGGCATAAAAATTGAATCTTGGACGACTATTTTATGAGTTATAACTTATAACTTATGAGTAAGCTTAGGGACTTCTCGCTCTAAAAAATACCAAAATATGCATGCAAATACGCACCAAAAAATTTCCAAATATTCTCTAAAATATACACCTAAAAATAACCGTATATGCACGAAGATATGCTCAAAAAAAAATTAAGTAGAACAAAATGTGGTAAAATTAAATATTTATATTATATATTACCTAGTACTATACTAGAATACTATTACTTGAATTTAACATTTTTAAAAGGTAATTGGTTTACATTTTAGTGTTCTTCCGTATCTACCGATCCTAAAGTAAAAACAACAAATTTAAATATTTAAATGTTTTAATTCTTATTTTTTTTTATTAACTTCTTTACATTGAAAATTACACTGCACAAAGAGATATTTCCTGAATTCCTGATGTTTTCAAACGTGAATCTACGACGATTACTTGACAGTAAATTTGTATACACGGAAAAACTTCTTTCGACATCTACAGACGACATTGGAGCATATACATAAAATAAACCAAATCATTACTTGTCAAGTCCTCAGGCAATCCTTCCATATCTTCAACTTCGCAATTTTTTTAATTTTTAAAAAGCTTTGTAACCATGATGTTTGTCTAAAACGTCATTTAACTTCTGTACGACTGAGTTTTCTTTTGTACATTTTAAGTCAACAATTTTATTTTTCGCATCTTCGATAGTTTTTAATGAACCAGATAATTTTATTCCTTTCTTTTCCAAAAATGTTATGGATTTGGGTAAAGATCGAAAATTTGATTTAATAAATGCCAAGTTACACTGAAGGTTATTCTTTTCCAAATACTTCTTTTTACAAAAAAATGTCAAAATATGCAAAATAAACATAACAATTTTAAAATAATCACTTTCCTGCAAAATCTATCAAATATGCAAATTTTAGATCTGATATCATGACACAGAGAAATGAATTTATTTCGCACTCTGCTATTTTTAACAATAACTAACAAAAGTATGCAAATGCTAGAAGTCCCTAGAACCTAAGCCTACTTATAGGTATTAAAAATGTAGACAAGCGGAGTGAAGTAATACAAGAGTACCCAGCAAAATGTTGGTCGACACTACTTCATCTGACTAAACTTTAAAAACTTAAATAGTGAAGATTTTTTTCAAAAAATAGGTACTGTTTCATAACGACTTAAAATTTTGTAAAAGAAATACTTTCAAAAATATTGTTTTCTGAAATAATGAGTATGTCTTACATTATAGTTATACGTTATACGTACAATGTACATATATAATAATAAACAGAATAGTGTGTCCAACATTTTACACATTACATATACATATAGTACCCATGTGATCGTTTTACGCATATAGGTAACTGATCATTCGAGACCGATTGCATTTGACGGTCCGACGGTCGCAGCAGACTGCCCCTCGCGATTTAACTTTATTTATCCAATATACGAGTATATAATATAATATAATTGTATTATACCACTCCCGCCGAACGTTTTATCGAAACAAATATAAGACGACCTTTTCGTGTAATGGGTTGGGGTTCATCGGATTGTAAATACGTTTTTTCCTCGCGTTTTTATTTTTTTACTATGATTAGCCTTTAACAAAAGCGCATTACAACTCGACAATTGCATTTATACAGAGTATAGGAACAAATTGTTTACCCTAAAAAATCCAGAGACATAATATATTATATATAAGCTATTAGATAACTTTGTAAAGGTAAAATAAATTAATGAGACTACCATAATATTAGGTACAGTATATTATTATAAATGGTTATTATATTATTGTCTCGAGAAAGCTAATTTTATTCATAACCTCGGCAAAGAGAAGAGTAAATGGCTTATAAACGAATTAAAGTCGAACAGAAATTTGGATAATAATGGAACCATAATATACCTACTCACACAATATAGGTAATATATATATTATATAGTTACTAAGTTTACGAATGCGTGTCGCAATACTTACGTAGTTGCGTATAATGTGCGTGCATGATATGCAATAATACTTTATAGAATAATATTGAAGTTTAGGTTATGGATGATTTCAATTTGCATAATATCAGATATGCTCAAACAAATCGTACAAAATATCAATTCAATACTAAAATTGTAAACATGAATATAATAAACGTGTAGGTATATGGATATAATATAATATGAAAAATGCAAAATAACTGATTATGACAAGTATAGTTTCTTAACATTTTTTTAAGTATATAATAACATCAAAAATATTCGTCAAGTAAGAAATACGATTTGTTGGGCCTAAAATATAAGCCGTAAACAAAATTAAAATTAAATAGGATTTAACTTTTTGGCTGTTTTTGGTTATTGATATATTTTAATATAATGGGTTTATTACTACAATGTTGAATGTATATTTTATGGTATTGTACTAATGTTACTTATTTGAAAGCACTCAATAATAGTAAAAATTAATAAAATATTTATTTAATATAATATAATATAAAGCTTTTAAATACACAATATATTATTTAATTATACATATTATATGTATATAATAATAATAATAATAATATATAAGTTCGATTTATATTACATGAAATGAGAATTAGGTATAGTAAAGATTCTCAATCTGTATATAGTGTAATAAATTATATCATATTGTTACATTATAAAGTAGGTAAATGTTTGTATTAAAACAACATGAATTATCATTAAGTCATATTATTTTAAGTCCGTGCCTATAATACATTAATAACAATATTAATTATATTGCACTTATTCAGCCAATACGTTTGATGAAAACATAATATTATGTTATTATAGTTCTAAGCTTAGGTAATTAAAATAATATTATACTATAGGTGACCATGTAGGTAGCGGAACTGTCTTCGATCCGTTATCATCATAGATGGGTTTCGAAAAATTTCTCAAATCTTGCCAACAGTAATTTTTTTGGAACTCCTTCATCCTTTTATAAAATCAGTGCCCCCAATAAAAAAAAAATATATTCTAAAAATTAATTTTGAGTCTAAACAAATTCATGTTTGGCCATTACCAGAGTGACCGGGCAATCAAATGATTGCAATTTATTTACAGACTATAATATATAGTACTTACCTAATTTTTTTTTACATAAGAATTAATTCTAATAGTTTACATGTTTATATAGAAATAAATATTTATTACAATAAAAATTGGTTAAAATAGATTTGAATAATGGAAAAAATGTATTATAAATTACAATATACAAAAAAATAATAATAAACAAATTGTATAATATTATCATCAACAAAATGTGTTGATGACATTGTGGAATAAAGAACCGAAATCAACGATAAAGTTCAAGCATAATCATATTAGTGTATAACTGTATTATACAATATAATAATAATAATATCTTCGATGAAATGGGAAAATATGAAAATTTCGAAAGAATATTTTTTTGTCCAAATTAAACACCATAATATAATAGTATAATATATTTTTTTAATTATATTAAATCTAATTAATATTATTGATAATTATAGAACCTACTCGTGTTGTAACTGTTGGAAGATGATAATTAAATTACTATATCGAATCAATCTTGACTAGGTATAAATTATAATATTAATATGATACTTTGTATTCAATTCTCGGAGATTTATACTTCATAAAACCATTTATAGTGCCTATATTATATTATTATATATTATAATGTAAACCTAATTATAGATCGTCAAAGAGAGTGCGACCATCAACAATTTACGTTTCCAAAAATTGATTTAAATACATTATGTAGCATATGGCGAGCCTCAATATTTCGATTTTCGACAATTTCTTGTCGGGCGGTATCGTGGGCAAAAGTTTCCTCAATTCACCGAATGCCACGTTGAACGCCTCGACTCTAACTCGCTCGCGTGTAGCATGAGCCATTCTGTATTTTTGGGTGGCCCGCCGTCTTCTCCGCCGTTCTTCCCTAGTCAAGGTGGCCATTCCCGACACCGTACTTTTTTCGCGGCTAGAAAATCATCGATTTTTACGACGGTTATTGACATATTTCGATTCTTTATACTATCACCGCAAATTTGTTTTATTTCGCTTTATATAAGAGGCGTGTATTAAAATAGGTGTCTACTAACCTTTTTTTCGTAAGTGAACCGTGTCCGTCCACGGAGTCTGGAAGCGTCGAATCCGCCATTGAGTACATACCGCAAGGTAAAAAATCCATCTAAAAATACAAATAACAAAACAATATAATTAATTCTAATTTGAAATTGAATTGCTATGTTCCGGTTAATATTATTAATTTAAATAACCAAAAAATAAATTGAATGCAATCGTGGACAAATGTATCTACTATTATTATTATTATATAATAGTATTATTATGATTCAAATATGGGCGAAAAACTATATGTACACATAAATACGCGTTTCACATTTAAACAATATGTTATAGGTACTAGTACTGCTATTTTCGATTGCTTAAATTGTAACTAGAAGCAAAATAAACGATTAATCTGAACATATATTTTGTACGTCAGTAGGATAATCATATGTAGTTTGATCATAATTATTGTAACTATATGAATTATCTAAATATAATAATATAATGATTGCTTCATGAATAATAATAAGTTATATTATCTACATATATTTAAAATTTATTTATAACTTAATTATTGGCTATTTTTTTAAAAGGTATTATAAAATAAGATAACTGTTCTATATGAATTATACAGTTGCATATATATGTACATTGTACACAACTTTAATTCATATAATATCGTACACTGTATAATTGTATAATTAATATTATATTACACATGCTGCCTACCTAGACGTATATTGTATATATTATGTACGCATAGTAAAAAATGTTAAAATTTAATCTTTACGTATTATATATGTATAGAATATAATTTTTATTTAAATTTAATAAAATAGTTGAACGGATCATGGCTGCTTAAATTCTTCATATAGGTAGAAGGGTGGCCCTTATAAAGGCCCTTATATAATATGGGGTAAGGAAAGTTAAATATTTTTGATTCCTCACCCACCAAATTTTTTCATTACCATACGAAAGTTATGTGGGTTAAATTTGGTGATGATTAATAACCCGCTTCAGGTGCCGCAAGAGGGTTGAATATTGATAAATAGGGTAGTTTTAGGGTTATTCTGATTTAATTCATTATATATTGCATTTAGCATAAAATTGTATAGAACCTAAATTGTAGATTATGGTACTGTCTATAAAAAACGTTCAGATAACATTTCTCTTAAATCTATTATTTTCTGTGAAAATTAGAATAAAATAAAAATTATTACCTTTTTCTGAAAAATCGAAATTTTTAATATATTTTCTAAATGATTGCTTTTACGATAACATACTTACAAATCTTCAAAGATGAAATAAAATAAAATCGTTTAAAACTAATGTACTAAAGCTAATTTTGCAATTATTGTTGTACATTAAGAAATTAATGTTTAAGTATATAAAATGTTAACTTAATCTTAAAAAAAAAAAATCGTTTACCTACACAAGTACATATTGAACATTGATGTCATTAAAAATAAATAGGAAGTGGATCAATGGAGTAATACAATGTGAAAATTAGATACGTTACATACAAATAAAATAATCATTGACAACTTGTAATAGAAATTGTTTTTGACTTTCGTCTTTCGTCAGTATATACTATTGTATTCTTGAATTAACTTAACGCCTCTTTCTGCAACATCATTCATGACTGATAACTCTGTTAAAATATGAATTCCTTTTTTAAAGTCTTCTCTTTATTTTCAACTATCCTGGTGGAAATCTATGAAGTCAGCTTAAATTTTAAATCTTAGAAAAAAGTTGACTATTTCTAGTGATACAAATTCATGTAATTCTTTTTTTATAAATGTTTCTATACCCTATTTACTCAAAATAATATTTTTAATTATATCATCAATGTTCTGGGTTGACACAGAAAATAATAGATTTACGAGAAATGTTGTTAGAACCTTTTTTATAGAGAGTACCTGAATCTACAATTTAGGTTCTAAACAATTTTATGCTAAATGTAATATATATAATGAATTAAATCAGATTTCAGAATAACCCTAAAACTACCCTATTTATCAATATTCAACCCTCTTGTGGCACCTGAAAGGGGTTATTAATCATCACCAAATTTAACCCACATAACTTTCGTATGGTAATGAAAAAAATAGGGGGGGGGGGTGAGAAATTAAAAATTTGAAAGTTCATAAATAAGGGCCACCCTAAATTTATTGGTAGATATACATATTTGAAATTAATAACCATAATTATAATTTACGAGAATAATCTCTAGAAAGAAAATAATTTGACTAACATCAATTCACCACAAAATAATTTTGTTGAAACCACAATTAACTGGTGATGAAAAAAATTTACTGAAATTATTGAGTACAATTACCCGTTAAATATATACAATCAAGTTTTGACAATATAACTAGGTGGTTACTGGTTAATCGCGAAACACTATTAAGACTACATCTATAATTTGAAATTTATAGATTTAAAATAAATATAAAGATATTAATTATTAATATATAATTATTGTTTTATCATCCTTGTTAAAATAAATACAATTTTATAATAGAAAAAACTATTTTGTAAAATATAAGTGAATTTTGTTGTTTAGTCTTATCTTAATTAATAATAAATTATTGTTATATTACTATTATTACAGATCGGTCCACATCCCTACTTGTAGTGTAAAATTTTCACAAATGAATTAAACTTAATATTTTAAATTTTAATTATAGAGTTTTCAACTCAGGCAAAAAATTGTTTTCAAAAAAACAAACATATTATAGAATTGCGTGTTGTGAAATTTGAGTTTTCACCCCTTTGCTCCTTTCAGAATCTAAAATATATTATAAAGTTGGGTGATTTAAATGCATAACCCAGAATAATATTTATTGTAATTGAATATGTATAAGAGAAACAAATAAATATTACATATTATATGTGTGTGTGCGTTATGTGCGCTATCGATTTTAGAGTTTTTTTTCATATTATAACTTCTGTGAATAATTTAACACTCACTTCTCTAGAACGTGATGATGATTCCGATTATAACACTGCAGATACTAATGTTATATTGATGACGTGTGTTTATGTGTGTGTGTCTACAAGGAGGAGGTTTAACTATGTTTATAGATATATATTTTTTTTTACTTCGGATATTGGCGACGACACGTCGACACGTTTCCAGCGTTCCGCCAACTCCCCCGGGAAGACAACCACCGGCCGGACACGTGCCAAACAACAACAACTACTGTTTTTATTGGATGATAAAATATGTATAATGCGTTTGTCGGGATGACTTGATTCCACGTTATAGCCGTTCACAGAGAGCAATACCAATAACAATAACCGCAATAGTCACATCATATACAATATAATATATTATTAATATGTATACCAACAATAATTTTTAATTTACATATTATATTCTATACAGGCGACTTTATATTATATTCAGTTTTAGAAAAAAATCTGCGGGCGTATACATAATAAGTAATAAGATTGATAATAATATATACCTAAGTGTTACTAGTTTTACGTCGTACTAGTATTATTATAATCAATGGTATTGATTTGGGGTACTATATTTTAATTATGTCGTAAACCTTCATATTAATAATATATTATACTATTATTGTGATTCATGACTACTGGCCTATTTGGCTAGAATCAGTAATATTAATAGTGAAAACTGTTGGTAATAAGTAATAGGTATAGAAAAAAAGTCCGAGGGACTAAGGGGAAAACTGCCCTATACTTACCACTACTCCTTATCAAACGCCTTGGCCTTCAAGTTACCTTGCCGGTTAGGCACCTAGGTAGTTAAAGGCAGTTAAACTCCTGAAGTTATTGTATTATCAAATCTTATCTGGATGATAAAAAGTCGAGAAATTATAAACAGAAAAATGTAGCCACCTCCTTATTATTCCTTATTTCAGATTTCCTGATCCACGACTGTCAAAAATACTTTAAAAGTTTAAAAATAATATATGATAATACTACATCTTTCAAAATTCAAAAGCTTTTCTGTATCTATTTCGAAAATGGATTTATCTAATAATCTATTATCGAATTATACACGATGACATTCCAATCCGATACGATCCTGGAATTCCCTGAGAAAATTCGAGTATAAACACCTAACTACCTAGATTTGAAAAGCAATCGGGTGCATCGTCTCAATTATAATTTATGTAACCATTTGGAAATATAATAGACTAGATTTTTTTTATAACTATTTTAAAGTTATAGGAATAACATGGTGAGGATTTCAACTTGTATCATCTTGTGAAAATGCTAAATATTATTTTAAAAACACATTACAACATAAGTTAAATAAAATTGACCTTTAGGCATACATTTTTATACAAAATCAATTGTATATTGATTTATGCGATGAAATCGAATGAATAAAAATAAAAAGGGAAAAAGGAAAACTAGGTAACCGCCCTCTGCTGTCGAATACCTATACCTCTTCATTGAGTAGATTACTACAAGCCCTCACCCCTATCACATTTTGGGGCCCTGTACTAAACGTTTTTGCAGGCCCTATACAAAATGTCCAACAAAATATAATCCATTACAAGCGATACGAGTGCTCCATACACGATTTTTACTTAATAATACATGTTAATATACATTTATATCATAAAATATTACTAAATATTTAATAAGTATTATTCCTATCAAAATTTAGAAATTTAGAAAATTATTTCAATGGGCCCCTAAAATAGCCGGTCCTGGTCCCTGGTACTCCAGATCCAACAGCACCCCCTTTGTAGGGGCCCTGGGTAACTGTACTGTATGTTTCAAATTTGAATTCAACTATAAATCATTGTATTCGATAAACGGTTCTAAGCGAAAACAGTCTCTCAGGGGCTATATTACTAAGTAAATGTTCATATGTTTTTTACGATTTTTGATGAGCTATTCTATAATGTAGACATTTAAAATTTGAAATTGTTTTTATTTTTATATCTTTAATGGTTGATAAAAAATATTTCACTTGATCAAAAAGCCTAAAATTGTAATTCCTTTTTCCTTATTACTTTAATAGCATTGTTATTACCGGAATTAAAAAAAAAAGTTAAACTTAAATCCAAAATAAAAACTAAAAAGGTGGGCAAGTGGGTGTCGCTCTGCTGTACAGTAGGTTACAAGTGGGTC